CTTTTGACAAAGTCTTTCTCTTAATATGTGTTTTCCTGATTCAATGCAAGGTATTATCATCTTTGTTGTTTTACAGATTTGTGATAGAAGTTGCTGTTGTAAGTAAACTGGACCACGATCTTGCTCCCAAGCTTCCCTAATATTTGAAAGAAAACTTCTGCTCTCAAAATTTCGACCAATTTCATTGTAAATGGCTTTGGCAATTACTGTTTTTCCTATACCACCCATCCCCCATATCCCTAGCAGGAGAGCATCATTTGGTGGATGGCCTTGTGGCATTTTAATCAAATTTTGCATTCGAGAATTCAATCCTACGAGATGGTTGGCAATAAATAAGTCTTTCTTGTCCAATATTTCACAAACATGCTCAACAATATTCTTGATATCCTCACTTTCATTACTGCATTACAAACAAATATAACAGAAAATGAGCACTGATTCATATAAATCCTTAATAGCTTTAGGGTGAATAATATGACATACCACCTCTGGTCCTTTTAATAGGATCCAATTAACCGAATTGCATGATTTAATAAATCTGTTAACATTAGTTAAAAATAATAAATATGTGAGAAACATGCTTTTCTTTTCTCCAAATATGACCTTATTTATAAAAGTTTAAGTGAGGGCGAGAAATGGTGAGAAAGAAGATGAAAGAGAATGTATGGGAAAAAACTAATGCAATTAATAAGGAATAAAACTGGTCAAAAACTGAAAAATACATTTAATGTCCAGGCAACCCCAAATTGGATCTTATAAAAAGGATCAGGCCAATTCAAAAATTTTGATATTATAAAAACGACTGAAGGGAGCATATTTGAAAGACCGAGCATTTAGCAGAACATACATGAAAAATTAGGCCACAACAGAAAATTCAATCAGGTCTGCGGAAGCACTTGTGAACATTCAAACAAAACTTAAGGAACCAGATGGTGCAATTTGCTTTATTCAGCAACAATCATAACTAGGAGAAAGTTTTCATTTTCCAATCACTGGAGACAAAGGTGAGAAGAGAGAGAGGATGACGAACCATACACTAACATGTGAGCCCCAACCACCTCTCCTATTTTGTCACTTTCACCTCTCGTCACTCAAAGGTGTCCGAATCTTGTTGACATGAAGTTTTTATCTGGTATAAAATTGGATTCCTTGTATCTTTGACGGATGCAATAGTCACATAACATTACAGAGAACAAATCAAAAGCGAATGATCATACAAGTATTAAAACATAATGAATTTATCACTCGCTTTTATAGACGAAGGGATTTGCAATACCTTAATCGCTGCTTAAATATTAGTCCTTACTCCAAGGTGCAAGTTTTAACCCAAAAGAGAAAAAAGTGGCCGCAAAACTGTATTGACTCTGTTTGATGTAAGAAGATCAAACTTACTCATTCGTAGGGTATTATTGTTATTTGTCAGACTTTTCTTCGAAAGGTGCACATGGCAGCAAGAACGGGTAGCGTATGCTTGTTTAGGCTTTTGCCAAATCGAAAAGAAATAAAAAAAAAAAAAAAAAGTACTTAAAAGTATTACCTGGACTTGAGCACAACAAACCCCGCAGTGCCCCCAGCTTCACGGAGATCTGTCCTCCACCTCAACACTTCATCTTCTGTGGGTGAACTTCTTTGTATAAGATCTCGAAACGCTTCTCCAAAACTAGAGATTTGCTTACGAACTTGGGAAGGATCCACGCCATAAAACACAGGCAGAACTCCCGACCCTGTGCTCGGTGAAGCTCCATGATTTTTGAGAGCTCACTGAGGCACCATCTAGAACCAGCATAATCTTTAGAGAAAATAATGATTGAAATTGTAGAAAGTTCAATTCCAAGGGACAATTCCGTTGAGATACTATTCGCCTTAGGAAGGTCTAAGTCATCTTTGAAAACAAGAATGCCAGCATTGCTTAAAGAGGAGTGGAGGTGAGAAGTGAAAGACGCCCGAGCGTCTTCCCCTGAGGTCCAAGAACACATCATACCGGCCCCTATCAATTGCTTTTTGGAGGGCCAAAATCGGATGAAGATTAGATAACAAGAAGTAAAGATTTGAATTTCAAGAAAAATACAACAACAAAAAATATTGTAAATGGTAGTTAGTATGGTGAAAGTCAAAATTATAAAATGTCAATAGTATTTTTTTTTAATTTATCCTATTGTTATTAAATAGTTATAAATTTTAAAACTCTATATTCATTGATCTGTTTATTACATTCATTTTAAATCATTAGTTGATATTAATAAATACTTTAATGCAAAATATAATGGACATGAGAATACCTACATCAAGTTCTTTACATCTATTTTATCATGTTCTCCAATCATACATGTCATGTGTATTATTTTTGAAATATTATTATTTAATTATAAATCTATAAAAAAAATAATAGGACACATAGTCATGTATGATTAAAAAAATATGATACAGCGGATAAAAAAAAATAGGCCTCGGTATTTTCCTAACTAATGGAAAAAGGTAATAAAATTACCTAGATCAAATTTAAGAATTATTTATTTTTAATAATACTAATTTCACTATTTACCGAATAAATTTATTTGCAGAAGTACGAATTTTTATATTAAAATAAATGCAGATTTAAAAATCAAACAATATTTCGCTATTTATCAATTAAACACCCCAATTTATAGATAAAAATATTTATTAAAGGTTCTTAGCAAGACTAAACTTCAAAATTTGGATCTTGAAATAATTTTTTCCTTAAAAAGATATTTTCTTCCAATAAAAATTAAAGGAAGAGGGACAACTTTAGATATTTATTTATCTTCGGGGAAAAAAAAATGACAGCAGGCACTACCTTCGCGTAGGCATAGAAGAAGCCGCACCACAGGGTTTCTGAACCTCTGGCCCTGAAGAAAGTCTGTTCACAATGCCCCTACCAATCTTCACTGGTGAATGAGCCAGTGGGCCTAATTCAGGCTCAAGTTTCGTCACTGCCTCATTAACATTTTCATGAAGTTCTGTATACTTTTCAGTCCCTTGTAACATTCTTTGGCACAAGGAAACACAATGGCAAAGCACATCGACGCGCCTAGTACCCTTTGCAATAATCAGCTGCTTTCTCCAGCACCTAAATGCATTTTATATACATAACCAACCTTAGATTGATCTTATACTAGACATTTGGAATATTTCATCCAAAAAAACATAACAGATATCCCATATGTTTTAAGAACAGTCTTACCATCAAGTGGACAATCACGATATATTTTAAAAACAAGCTCATATTGTTTGGGATGGCTTTTGAAACTGACTTGTTGAATCCAAAAAGCTAACTGATACCCAAAATGATGTTTGGCATAAAACAGCTTTTGAGCCTAAAGTTAAATTACATTACACTAATTTGGAAAAAGTTAGATTAAATTATAGCTAACTGAGGCGCAATCTGGTTTTTCTTGCTTCTGGCTTCTTTTTAATAACTTTTACTTTTTTATAAAAGCGTATTCAGATATAAATCACATTATTAATTAATTGATTTTTAGCTTAACTTCAGTTTGCAAAATAGATATGCCCCAAACCCTCCACAACCCCCCCCCCCCCGGGGGCGGGGGCCTCCAGAAGTTTCCATGGATTCAGACACCCTCAACTAATGCACAACAAATTTCACTGATCTGAGTAAAAAATTTAATGAGGATACCGAACCAGATTATCGAAGTTTATCTTAGATCACGTCTGTATATATATACAATCAGTAAGCGCGAGCAGGTTGGGAAATGAAAGCTTATCCATAATGTTGCATAGAAAGAGCATGGCATCTACCACATCACTCGATTAATGTGCTACTGATCAGACAGAGATCAGGCAAACATATAAAAGATGACAATCGGCAGAGATGAATTCAGTAGGGAGGAAAAACAATGTTCTGGAAAACATATACTACTTTACGTCCTTAATATAAAAGCTAGTTTGAAATTTAATTTGATTCTAAATATAAGATCCCATTATATTTATTGTTTTTTCAAAGTAGTTCTTATAATAGTTGCACAGATTAAAGGTTCCATTAAATGGTAGTACTAGCTAATTAATACACATGATTAGCAAAGATATTTAAAAAAGATAACAATATTTATTACAATAACTAATTTAACAAATTTTCTTAATTTACTTAAATTGGTTAACTAGTTTTTATAGTAAGAACTAAAGATAGTACCATCTAATCCCATCTGCTCAAAAATTAAGCATGGCTAGGAACATCCTGTAATGGTTTCTCACGCAGAATGAAGTAATAGGAAAGCGTATTGTGAACCAAATAATACCATAACTCTACCTGCAGTCATGCTTAAGAGTTTTTGAACTGAAGAAATAAAAAAACAAATAGATGGAAAATAGGAGTCCACTACTCAAGAATTGGTTGTTGATGAAGTATAATAATATTACGTGATTTATATAGCCAACCCCAACTAGTGAAATAAGACTTTATTGCAACATGTGTTTATTTACGCATATAGGTGCATATTGTATGATTTATGTACGCATAATCTATCAAGTCCATAAAATCATAACAGTCTCGGGGCAGATCTTGAAAACAGATTGCCAAAAAAAAAAAAGAATAAAATCATCATGCATATCAATTGACTTGCTCAGAACATTTAGGGTCTGTTTGGTTTGGCTCAACAAGAAGAAGAGGAGGGGAGGGATTTTAATAGAAGGAAGGGAAGGGAAAGAGAGTGGAAGGATTTTAATAGTACCCTTGTTTGGATTTATAAAAAAGGGGGAGGGAAGGAGTTTTAATATTACCTTGTTTGATTCATGAGGAGAGGAGAGGAAAAAATATTTTGACATCGATAATTTCGTTCTTATTTCATTTAAGATATGGATATAATAGTCATCACATGACAAAATGAGTATAATGATCATAACATGACAAAATATTGCCCTTTCCTTCTAAATCCTTCTAATTTTGGAGAGGAGGTTGAGGAGAGGGGAGGGAAAATTTTCCCTCCCCTCCTAAAATTTGTGTGTTGCCAAACAAAGATAAATGATTAAAATCCTTCTCTCCCTTCCCTCCCTAGCAAATCATTCACTTTCCCACATGAGATGCAGTAGAAGCTTCCATCAAGCTTGGGACGTCTCCCATCTTCGGCAATGCCAGAATTATCATGCTCTAAAGCACACTCAAGATGACATGACGAGCAACAAGAAACACCAACAAATGGAGGCTCAGAGCTACAGTTTAACCAAAGGCTAGGATCTTTGTGCTCATCATAGTTATGACAAATGCAGCATGAGCATCTTTTACAGAACACATCTGCTTCACTTAGGGCAGCTTTGCAAGCTGGGTTGTCGCAGTATGAAATACTACTTTCATCTCCAACTCCATTGTCGGCAGAAACATCATTTACCGGAAGAGGTAATCCAGACGGATTCTCGTCTTCTCTCAGCCTCCTAGCAGGTCTCTGTCCATGTGAAGTAGGAGAATGTGGTTCCAGGTCCGTCACATCCTGACATCCAGATTTCTTTTCAGAAACAAATAATCAATATTGTAATGTAACAAATATTTTATGAATACAAGATAATAGATATTTGTAAAACCTGTATCTATCTACTTTGTACTATTTTATAATTTTTAATATACTCCTCCGGTCCTTAATAAATAGTCCTTAATATAAGACCCATTTAATTAATTTGATTAGATTAAGAAAGTTAGGTAAGTTAGTTAATTATAAAAAATGTGACATGCTTTTCCTAAAAACACCATAATCATTTTTCTTAATACCTCCTCTCTCTCTTTTACTTGATTATGGGTGAGGGAATATCTATAGGGGTAATTGAGAGAAAATTGATAAATAAGAGAAATGAGTCTTATATTTAGAATCAAAACTAACTCAATAATTGGGTCCTATATTAAGGACTGGAGGAGTATCATATTAAATTTATAATATAATGTGCATGTATTTTTTATTAATCCTACCTCAATGCATAATATTCCCTCTGGCCCTTTTTATAAGATCCCATCAAATGGATTTGATCCTTTTAATAAGATCCTACTTATGAGTGTCTGAATATTAAATGTATTTTTACCAATTTTATCCCTAATCAATTTTTTATTTTCTCTCCTCATCTTTTTCTTATACCACATTGTCTTTTATCTTTGATCTCATTATTAGTATTTGTCTTTCTTATTTGCTGTCTTATTAAATAAGGACATAATTGGAAAGAAAATATTCAATTTTCACATATTTATTGTTTTTAACTGTTTTTTTTAACCTCGTAATTTAGTTAAAAAAATCTTATAAAAAGGATAGGAAGAAATACTCTTCTAAGTCACTAATATTAAATCTCTTTAGCTTTGTCTTAAAAATTAATGACTTCCCAACTTTATTCTTATTTAACATATACCATACTCAAAGAGAACAAAGTTTATTACCTAATCCTAAGTTAAAAGTAAAATTATATTTATATAAAAATTTAATAACGTGACTTATACACAAGATCCAAAAAAATTTTCTCCTCATCTTATAAACACCAAGAGATTACTGAGATAATTAAAGTTATAAAAGTTAAATATCAAATACTCACGTAGAAAATTTGTCCTACCATTGAAAAATGAAACCAACTCTTCCCAATGTTAAGGTCTTCAGGCTTCTGAATGTCTGCTAAACTGCTGCTTCTTGATTTGCTTTTCTTCCATAATTTCAAAGCAGCAGCTCTTTCGAACCAATACCCTTTCCTAGGCTCTCCTCTATACGCAAGGGTCTTCCTCTAAACAGATGCAGTGCAATCCCTCTTCTTCTAACCAACAGTTTTCGAATTCCAGCTTCAAGAAGTCCTAAAAGATCAAAGCAAAGCATTAAATCGTGTGGAGCCACAGGTCAGATGGTTTTTCTCTTTATGTCAGATGATTTTTCCTTTTGTTTAGCATTTTATCTCTGTTTCATTTCTGCTATTTTGCTCGTCGATTCTTCTCCAATCGCTGTCTAAACATGCCTTTCTTCTTTCATTTCTTTTTTTTTTTTTTTTACGGAAAAATCTAAGACCGTCCGGTTTACTAAAACCCCGTCCCGGGTTCCGCCTCAAGCGTCGCTTCTCACCGGTCTGATCCGGCTCAACCCAGAAACGATTCCTAGGAGCAGAACAAATCGCTGTTAAGTCCGGCTGACGGTCCAACCAGCCGGATCGGATCACTTTTAAGATATATAAAAATCTGAAACCCCGATTCCTTCATCAGATTTTCAGAATAAGTTGTTATATATCTTGCCTTTTGCCCGAAAGAATAAAAGGAGGAACAAAGATGCATCCATTGAAATTTAAACAGCGTCATGTCTAAGACTGAAAAAATGATGCATCAACGAGTGGATTAGGAGCAAATAAAACATAAAGCAAATTAAGCGTTCCGGGTTGGAGATTAGAGTGGAAGTTACCTGTGTGCGAAGCGGGGGTGGACGAGAGATTAATCTTATTTATCACAGTGATCAGAAGAGGAGGAAGAAGAAAGAGATATAAGAGGCTTTTGTTGCTTCTTAATCTCCCCTCTTAAGAATGTTCTCGAGTAATGACGGTGCGATGAAGGCTTCGTGAAGGTAGCTACCCGGCCAGGCAAGGGAAGCTTCTTCTTTTTAGAAGTTCTGGCAAGTTTGGAACAGGAGACAATGGAGAAGAACAAGGGGAAATGACAATTTGAGATAGAAAGCCAGAAAGCGAGGCGAATCAATGGCACGCGATGATTAAAAATATTCTAAAGTATCATCTGCACAACATTAATGTCTGATTTTCAGTCTCGAGTTTTGTAAAATAAATAAAGACATTATGGCTTAGTGACATGAATATTTCCTTTTGAGCAGGATGTCACAAGTTCTATCATGTTTGTGATCTCAGTTGTTATTACTTGCTTCTTTAATTAAAAATAGTTTGAAAAATTATCTCAAGCCCGTATATAGCTTCAATGCATACAAAAATTAATCATAAATTAAGGATCATGAAAAAACTAAGTTCAGATATTTTAATATTTAAAGTCTCAATAAATAATAACTTTAGTATGATTTCTCTTACTAAAGTAGTACTCCTTGATTGTCTCGATTTTATAGTATCCTTGTCTTGCGATGTAGATATCCAATGTACCGTCGTGCTCATTATAAAATTATCATGTTAAAGACTACGTTTAAGTTAAATTAAAAAAAAAAAGAGAAAAGGAAAAATGATATATTAAAATGAAGAAGGTTTATAAAAAAAAAAAACACTTATCTCTTAAAAATTTAGAAAGTACATAAAAAGGAATTAAATTAAATTAACTTTTAAATTGCCGTTGATTGAAAGAGTGGTTAGACGATGGCCCAAAAACAAAAAAGTTGCCAGACAACTTTAACTCTTAGTTTGGGTAAAAAGAAAAAAGCAACATCTTTATGCAATTGTATAAATGGGGCTTGTTAATGGGGATTACAAAACACAAAGTCCGATTTTCTTAACATTAAAGTCTGATTTTCTTAGAAAATTGACTTTTGTAAAATACCTAAAGACATTATGATCTAGTAACATGGATATTTCTCTTTAAGTAGGAGATTACAAGTTTGATTATGTTTGTAACCTCAGCCGTTAGAATTTTCTTCTTTAATTAAAAATAGTTTGAAAAATTATCTCAAGATCATGTATAGCTTCAATGCATGCAAAAATTAATCATAAATTAAGGATCACGAATTAATTAAGTTCACATATTTTAATATTTAAACTTTCACTAAATAATAATTTTAGTATAACTTCTTTTACTAAAATAGTACTCCTTGATTGTCTCGTTTTTATAGTATCCTTGTCCTGCGATGTCGACATCCAATACACCGTCGTGCTCATTAAAAAATTATGTTGTTGAAGACTATGTTTAAATTAACTTCTCAATTGCCCTTGACTGAAAATGTTGTCAGACAACTTCCAACTTTTTTGGGGTGAAAAAAAAAAAGCATCATCTTTATACAATTATATAAATGGGACGCGCTAATGGGGATTAAAAAACACAAAGCAAGTCTTATATGAGTCAGAACAAGGAGTAATCACTAATGAAGAAAAAAATGCAATTCTTAATACGGTTGTTGCTGATAATCATCGTAATGATAAATGGATCGGGACTAGTGGTTCTATAAGTTGCTATGCTGTAAAAGATGGGTACTAATTAGCAAAACAGAATGTTGTCCATAGATATGATTCATTTCCTCCTGCATCTAATCACACCCATAGGAAATTTTGGCAACAGGTCTGGCGAATTAAGGTTCCCTATAAAATTAAAAATTTATTGTGGAGATTAATTTCCAAGGCTTTACCAACTTTTGAAAATCTTGCTAAAAGGAATTTTAGTCCTATTGATGTTTGTCTAATCTGCAAAAGCAGTGTAGAAACTTTGAGTCATCTTTTTCTTAAATGCCGCTGTTTTAAGAAGACTTGGTTTGGAAGCTCCTTTACTTTCCATACCACTGAATGTGGCTCTACTCAAGTGGCCGGCTTCTTGTTTCTGTGAGATGGATTTATCCCCAAGGCAGAAGGCTTTACTAGTTGCTATCTCATGGCAGATTTGGAAAGGAAGGAATGCTTTCATTTATAACGATATTAATCCTGATCCCTTTTTTCGCTTTCGAACAAGGAGGTAAACTTCTTAGAGAGTTCTGAGAGACCAATGGTTCGATTCATTCAGAGGAAAATTCCCATAATCTCGACAGGCCCATTCTTAAGACAAATAATCTTCAGGGTGTGTAATTTGAGTCTCTGATAATTAGATCCTCATTAATTGCATTAATAATCAAAGAGAGCTACCTGATTGGAGATGTGTTGGTGTCCTTGATAATATCCAAGAATCAGGAAATTGGTTAGGAACCATGCCTGCACTTGGATTCCCAGACAGGCTAATGCGGCTGCTGATCTTGCAAAAGCTACATTGAAAGGGTCATGTCCATTTGATTGTGTTTGGAGACTGCCCCCTTTACTGAGAAAATTGCTTGACCGAGATGCTTGCTATGTGACTGCAGATCCGGGATAGTTTGCCCTGCTTATGTTTGTTCTTTTGATTGTTTCCTATGGTTTGTTTGATTTTGTTACCTGGCCTTTTGGACTTTAGTTTTTTTATCAATAAATTACTTTCCTGGAAAAAAAAAAAGATTCAAAGCAAATATAGTTAAAGAGGGAGGCATGTGTGTCTATTTCTTATTTAGAAAATGAGACTTTTTCCGATTCTAATTATAAGCACATTTGATATGTTTTATAATATAACATGTTTTATTTATAACATTAATTTTTTTAATACAATATCCCTATCAACTATTAAAAAAAAACTAATTTTAATTGATTTTCTTAATAGTCTGTCTTATAATTAAATACTAATTTTTACCCGAAATTAGTATTTTACCAATTCCTGAATTTTTCTTTTTTGGTCCTTGGAGACCTAGAAGCCACTTGCTTTTTAGTTTTTAGTTACCTAACCATAACCGCAGCCTCATTTTCCTGTAAAAAACGATTATTAATCCCCAGTAAATTAGATTTTTTTTAATAAAAAAAGATCAGTATTGCATGTCAAATATCTGAATAAATATTAAACAAGGAACAGCTTGAAATAATAAAAAAATTCTAGTAAATGCGCACCAATGAAATAGATTCAAGAAAAATAGACTAAGAATAAAAACAAATGGCACACAAAACGGACGGCTTGAATTTTATAGTTTTTCCATCATATAAGTCATATAACCAACTTTGATTAAAAATACCAGTTATTTATTAAAAAAATAATAAAGATAATTTATCAAAATCGAATACAAAGATAACATGAGCTTGTTCAAGAATAGATAATCTAAGAAACGTTATAAAACAAAAGATTAAAAAAGAGACAAAAATAAGAAAAGATAAACATATCAATACTAGTCCTATCCAGCTATCCTGCACTCCTTATTACACTTTCTGAAGCTTAGGCTCTTCAAAATCATGGTTTTTGTCTTTTGCACGCTTTTCTCAAAATACTAAAACAGAAGTTTCAACCGAGAAAAAAGGGATAACCTTGAAACTGCCTAAAGGACAAGGTAATTCTCTGGAGCTGCCCCACTTACCTCTGACGCTTAGGCTCCGACAGCTTGAAATCATGGTTTTTATCATCCCTATGCAATTCTCTACCTACAAAAACAGAGAAAAATAACATGAAAAACTAAACATCATGAATTATGAAATAAGTAAGAATGTTAACCTGGCTTAAATCCACCTAAAGAATCAGGTAATTACAATTAACAATAATGTACTATATTTTTTTTTCCTGAAACTAAATTATAATCCAAACATTTAAAGCTGGTGCAAAACAATAGTTTTAGAGAGCCAATCATACTTGATGATGGTGGATCCTCTATCAGTTCATCAAATGACTCGTCATATTTCAAGTAAACTGCTGTTCTTTTCACAATGAACCCATTACCAAAAAGTACAATGATATGCACTTGGTCATTAGAGTCCAGATTTGATATTATTTCCTTCCAATTTGCTTCTTCAAAGGAAGTCACTACGCCTCGCCCATAGAGTAGTGTCGTTGTCTTTGTATAGTTTGTGATCACCATGGTAATGAAAGAGTCAATATCCACATTTCCCAAATCACCTGAGGGGTGATATTCACAGCAAACAGTCATCCCTTTTAACTCATGGCTACTAACTAGAGGCACTCTAAATTTTACAGAAGCTCCTTCACCCTTGAAGCATTGCCAACAGGGATATTTGTCACCCGGGAGGACACAATCATCACCATCATCTCTGACAGTTAGTCCCTGCTTAATAACACAAGCAGAAGCTCTAATTCAACTAATAATTGTACAAGCTGGATGGTCATTTCCAATTTTACTAAAAAAATTACATAAAAAGCGAATTGTATATAGAGAAGGAGAGAACCTGTAAAATACTTTCTGAAAGAGCATTAGTGACTTGGTCATTGTTTCCAATATGAATTAGAAGATGTCTCGAACATTCGTTTGGCCTTGAGATGTCAACTTGACTATGATGATCAGCCAACACAGAAGATTCAATCTCCAAGATTTTTGAAGTATTTGGTGTCTTTGCCATGTCCCTGCTACTTATGGCACACAGGGAATCCAAGATTTTTGTAGCATCTCGATTTACCTTAGCTTCATTCTCTGATGTGCATTCTAATGAAAGGCTTTGGGGCTTTAGAAGGTTGTCATGAATCGATGAAGGACATGAGATACTGCAATTGTTTTCACATAAGAAAACTGAAGCTGGCGTGCTAGCATATCTCGGAATAAGAGAAAGAGGATTGTTCGTTGGAGACATCCTTGACCAAATGAGGGACGGAAACACATGACGTGCAAGCCCTTGGTAACCACAAACAGATATATAGCCAATGCTTTTTGATCTCGCCAAGGAAATGGGTACTTCAGTTATTCCTGTGTTATCCGCAATTAGAGTTGACAAAGAATCCATCTGCTCTATATCTTCCTCTAACTTTTCGATCATCAAACAACCAGAAAGAATGAGAGTTTTTAAGCACTTCAATTTATAAATGCTTCTTGGGAGACTACAAAGGCCAGTACAATCCTTCAAATTTATTAGATGAATTTTACCAAGATGCCCTATTGTATTATGTATCGTGGCCAAACTTGGACAATCTTTGAGGATCAACTTTTCAAGATTTGGTAGCTTTGAAAAATCAGGAGTAAACACCAGGTAAGGAGAGTGGCTAAGATTGAGGATTTTTAGATTCTCCAATAACTACAAGAAAACAACATTCAAAAGGCTATTAGAGAAACATCTTCGAAAAAGTAAAATAGATGAAAACAACATGTAAAATCATTTTTTTTAGAACAATTATCTATCTTCCAAACAATTCAATAGAAATTTACGCGCATACATAATTCATCATGATAGTGGAATGTCTAGCAAGGAGAATCGAAGAAAGTAAATGTTGAAGAAAACTCAACAGCTCTATCCAAGAATAGTCAAAGCAAGACTCATCTAGAAGCCACTAGAAAAATTCAGAAATGAAAATATATATAGAAGTTATTAAGTAGAACAAAATCTAGTAATAAATTTGGTACATACTTGGGGCTCCCTCCAGAGTCTCAGACTGCTGTATTTTAATTCAATAGCGACTAAATTATTTTGAAGGAAGTTCGCAGGGATGTATTTGAAAGGAAATTTGTGCCAACAGAGCCATTTGAGATCTCTACTAATGTGTCTATAGTCTCCATCAAGTTCCACATTAGCAAGACGAAGCAGTCTGAGTGTCTGCATCTTCTTAAATGCTTTGGTTAAAAAATAAACTTTACCATCTTGTGACAGATTCAAAGCTAGCCCCTCCACAGATTCTGTACCCTACAAATAAAGAGAATATAAGAATTTTAAGTGTCTGCTTCTAATTTGTTTGCTGAAAAGAAAAATGTACACCTATGTCACAAGCAAGTCTCTAGAACAAGTAACTAAAACAATTGGGTTTAAAAATGAGTAACTAGTGCCTTGGAGAAAATAAACGACAAATGCGCCTACTAACAAATTTCTTGTGAGAAGTTTCAAAACTACAAGGTTAATATGCCCAATGCATTATCTTCATCTGACTTCATGTTTCATTCTACGTTTTCTTACATGATGATACATGTAGCATGGAAAAGTTCTTACCATATGTTTTGATAACAGATCGATCACATCCTCCTGAAACCATAACCTACTACGCTTTCCAAATTCTTTTGGTGACTTTTCACGGATTATTTCTCTTCCCATATCTCGTAACAAATCATGCATACCAAGCTTGTTCTTCTCATCAATAGTCACGAGGCTTCTCTCCACAAGGACACTAATTCCAATGTCCGCAAAAAATCCACTGGCATTTAATATTTGTGTGACATCATTCCTATCCATTCCAATAAAGAAGCAAGAAATATCAAGGAAGATTTCCCTCTCTGTATCATCATTTAAACCATCAAAGCTTATTTTTAGCTTCTTTTGTATCTGACCATTTGGGATTTTTTTCAGTTTGTCTAGTACACTCTTCCACTTTGTCACTTCCCTATCAAACAAATAGCAGCCAAGAATTTCAAGAGCTAGTGGTAGTCCACCAGAATAAGCAACTATATTTCTAGAAAGTTCAACAAATCCTTCTCTAGGACTCGGCTGCCTAAACGCATGCCAACTGAAAAGCTCAATAGATTCATTTTCGTCCATGTTCTTTACTCTATATACATGGTCCAAATCCACGTTAAGAAATCTTAGTAAATGTACATCTCTGGTTGTGATAATTATTCTACTTCCTAGACCAAACCATTTAACACTTCCAGATAAAGCATTTAGTTGTTCCACCTTATCCACATCATCAAGCACTACAAGTGTTTGCTTTTGGCGAAGTCTTTCTTTTAGCATGTTTTTTCCTGATTCAATGCAAGGTATTGGCATCTTTGTTGTTTTACAGATTTGTGAAAGAAGTTGCTGTTGTAAGTAAACTGGACCATGATCTTGCTCCCAGACCTCCCTAATATTTGAAAGAAAACTTCTGCTCTCAAAATTTCCACCAATTTCATTGTAAATGGCCTTGGCAATTACTGTTTTGCCTAGACCACCCATCCCCCAGATCCCAAGGAGGAGAACATCATTTGGTGGATGGCTTTTTGACATTTTGATCAAATCTTGCACGCGAGAGTTTACTCCTACAGGATGGTTAGCAACGAACAAGTCTTTCTTGTCCAATATTTCACAAACATGCTCAACAATATTCATGATATCCTCACTTTCATTCCTGCATTACAAACAAATACAACGGAAAATGAGCACTGATGGTTCATATAAATCCTTGATTACGTTGAGGTGAATAACGTAATGTATATTTCATAAACCACGCATTTAGGAGAATAGAGATGACAAAACTGGAACGCAACAGAACATGCAATCAGATCCACAGAAGCACTTCTGAACATTTAAACAAATGATTGAACTTAAGGAACTAGATAGCGCAATTTGCTCCATTCAGCAATAATCATAACTCACAGAAAATTTTCATTTTGCACAATTCAACAATATTAAAGGATTCCCTCCAATCACTAGAGATAAAAATGAGAAGAGAGATGATGAGCCCCATACTAACATCCCCCCCTCTGGGGGCAAAAAAAAAAAACACATCTCTATTTTTTGTCACTTTCACCTCTTGTCATTGAAAGGGGTCCGAACCTTCGAACAATTGGCATGAAGTTTTTATTTGGCATATAATTGGATTCCTTATATTTTCTATGGATGCAGTTGAAACAACAGATTACATAGCATAAACAAAAAGCGAATGATCTTACAAGTATTAAAAACATAAAGTTTATCTCTAACTTTTATAGACGATAGGATTTGCAATACCTTAGTAATAAATCGCTACTTAAATATTAGTGCTTACTTCAAGGTGCAACTTTCAACACCAGAAAAAAGTAGCAGCGGCTATAAAAATATCATAATCGGAGAAATTTATAGTGTCATGAGAATAAAAGACATCTCAATTTGACCAAATTCAAAATAACAATTTAAAACAAAACGTAACAACATTTGTGCTTGTGAAATTGCTATACTTTTTTAAAAAATTAAAACATATTTTTGGCTAACGAATAATAATAATACACTTAATATTTGACTTCAAAAGTTTCAGTTAATCGTCAGAGCTTCACCCGAGCATATTGATTATACATATGTGAAAATATAACACCTAATCTTTGATAACGTATTGCTGTTATTTGTTAGATAAAATCTTCTCATGCACAATAATACAAGTGATTTGCTGGCCCAAAAAAAAAAGGAGTGATTAATGGTGCACCTTGGCAGCAAGAATGTCGTGTGTCTGTTTAGGCTTAGAAAAACTGAAAAGAAAAAAAAGGAAATATTTAAAAATCACCTGGAATTGAGCATGACAAACCCTGAAATGCTCCCAGCCTCACGGAGATCTGTCCTCCACCTCGGCACTTGATCTTTTGTGGGTGAACTTCTCTGTATAAGAACTTCAAGTGCTTCTCCAAAACTAGATCTTTGATTACGAACTTCGGATGGATCCACGCCATAAAACACAGGCAGAACTACCCGACCCTGTGTTCTGTGAAGCTCCATGATTTTGGAGAGCTCGTTGAGGCACCATCCAGAACCCGCATAATCTTTGGAGAAGATAATGATTGAAATTGTAGATTGTTCAATTGCCAGAGGCAATTCCATTGAGATATTATTTCCCCTAGGAAGGTCTGAATCATCTTTGAAGACAAGAATTCCCGCATTGCTCAAAGAAGAGTAGAGATGAGAAGTGAAAGATGGCCGAGTGTCTTCCCCTCTAAAACTTAAGAACACATCGTACCGGGCCCTATCAAATGATTTTTTTAGGCCAAAAACAAATGAATATTAATGTCAAAAAGTACAGATTGTAATAGCAATTTAATTTCAAGAAAAATACAACAAAATAAAATATGCACTATCGGATGATTTAGTTTCAAAAATATATACTGATTCAAAAAAAAAACACACACACACACACAAAGATCCCTACTGTTGAGGGTTTTGATTAAAAAATTAATTTTCCAAACATTTTATAATTTCAACTAACAGCAGGGAGGCAAGAGTACAATCCTTATCTATCTAGTGCTTTAACTAATCATCCAGAGGCCGTATAGTGACAGGGAATCCATGCACGACATTCAGTCCCGTGTAGTCAGCAGGTTTGTTGTTACTCCAGGGATGTAATTCAGTTAAACGTCTGTATTTCATAAATAATACTCCTCCGGTCCTAATTATAAGACCCAATTGACTTATTTGAGGAAATTAAGGAAGTAAGTTAAGTTGGTTATTTATAATAAATAAGTGTTGTCATTCCTAAAATATCCTTACTAATTAAGTATATTGGCTAAAACTATTATTATTAGAAGGATTATCTTGAAAAAAATGCATAAATATAAAAGACAAAATGGATTGGGGTCTTATAATTAGAACCAAATAAAAAGTCAAACGGGGTCTTATAATAAGGACCGGAGGAGTATTTCATATCCAAAAAAATACTTCAGGTACTAGTTGCATCATAACCTTAATAATTATCAATAATTCTTTTTGTATCTGAAAGTAGACACTTAATCTTCCAATGAATCCTAATTTATAAATTTGAAAATATATAAAATTAATTGTGAATTTTTAAAGTTAGATTACTTTGCTACCTATAAACTTTGGAACAGTTTTAGCAAGTCACTTTGCTGCCTAGATGTTCATGGCACGGAACCTCTCCTATTCTTTCCAATCCTGTTCCCCAATCGTGACCGTTAATTTTATCCAAGGGCTTAAACCAACTCACTTATCATAGCATCATCCTTCTGCATAGTTTTTTTCAGACTTGGAGGCGCTCGCGATTTAGCCCTTCGATTTTATTATGTATCAGCATTACAGCAATATATGCCTGGACATCTAAGGATCACTTTAGCTTCTAGGATTTAAGATATATTGGGTTAGGTTTAGATATATGCTTGGGCGTCTAAGGACCACTTACTTAGTTTCATGTTCTATGTAGAGACATATAAATATATATATATATATATATCTATAGACACACACACATATACACGTATACATAATATTAGATATTGACAAAAAAATATTATATATATTTATAAATTTTAGTTTTTCAGTTTGAAACTGTAATTTTTTTCATTAACGGAATCAATAACGGAACATCGAAATAATCGAAATGAAAAACTGAACATGCCTTCGGTATGGTTTCGTGATCAGATATGTTTCGGTTTTGCTTTCCCCTGCCCAAGACGTAAGCGCTAGTTCTTTAATTTTATATAAAATTTTAATTTAGTTTAAGAACTAAGTAACGATCGGGTATTGTTTTTTCAATTTAGTATATTGCTATTAAACAAGCTTAAATTTAAATTCTTAAACTACATATTCATTTTAATTTATATGTTTATTACATTCATTTGAAATTATTAATTGATATTAAGAGAAGAAAAGGAAAATTATTTCCTAAATTAAATTCAAGAATTAATTATTTTCACTAATTCCCACATCACTGTTTGCATAAATTTATTTATCAAATTCATGTTAAGACTTAAGATAACGTAAATTTATAGGTCGTTGGCAAACCAAAAAGAAGCGTAAATTAATAACTTGATCAATATTTATAATTTAAATAGAATGAATTAAATAAGTGTAAGTATTTATCATTAAGGTTTTTAAAAATAATAAACTACTAAAGTTGGATCTTGGAATAGTTTTTTCTTTAAAAAAGTATCGTTTTTGCAAATAAAAATTAAAAGAATAATGACAACATTTTAGGTGTAAATGTTTATTAATAGACTAAAGTATACATTTGATCATCCATCTTTAGAAAATATATTTTTAGTTTTTTTAATCATAAAACTGTTAATTTTAAATGATGAGTTTTTGTAACTTGTGATTACTTTGAAAATTAAACTTAATATGTTAGTGCTCGTTTGTATTAGTGCTCGTTTGTATTAACGGTGAACAATTATGATTTTACATAATTATAAATTTTATAAGTAACATTGGTTAATCGTGATTTCTGTTTGGATTCTTTTTTATAAGTGATTTTAAGAATTATGATTATATTTGGTTTTTATTTACTAAAATTGCTTATAGATGTATAGGGTATGAAGTTAATATTTCAGGAGAGATTTTTGGATGAGTGTGGGAGGATAGATTGGAGAAAATTTAGTTGCTGAAGATTGATCGGGATTTTTCAAATGTATAAGCTACTCTTTGTTACTTATCCTAAAAATACAGTAGAAGGGTAAAACCATGATTTATCGAGATTTTATAAAAATTACATAAATAAGACAAACATGCTTTATAATCACTTATTTGAATTTAAACGGACTTATTTAAGATCCTAATACTTAACTAAACAGACTCTTAGTATTTAAGAATGTTTTACCAATCTTCAAGATATCAATATCATCACTTTTTGTTAACAATTTTAAGTTTAAAAAATAAAAATATACTTTTTAAAATTAAGAAATCAAACTGAAATCTTATTTAAAATTAAAAAACTAAAAATATACTCCGATCTTATTAATTTATTTATTGGAGGGAAAATAAAAACATTACCCATAACGCAGCATCAGCTCCTGCGGCCGCATCCCCATTCGTGGCGACGGCAGCCGCGGTGGCCCCCCCTGCTCAAGACGACAGAAGTAATGGAATTCATTACCCTTCACAGCTGGTGGATCTGTACGGTCCATTTTTTATCTTTACGCCTGCAAGAATCAATTATTTTCAATTTTATTTTATGTTCTTTTGCTTAATTTTAAAAATGGAAAAGAGGACGTCACTGTTTTGCCTTGTTAAAAAAAAAAAAGTTAAAATGTAAATTTCTCTCCAACATTTTGGCTTAGGGCTGAAAATTTTTTATTATAATTTATTCTAAAAATTTAAAATCATAACAATATTAATTTCTATAATAAAAATATTAATAATCAATCTCACTGTTTTAATAATAAATATTAATTTTTAATAATAAAAGAAAATTGACACTATCTTAAATTTTATAAGTAAATTTATATTAAAAAAACTTTTGAATCTTGGCTTTAAAATAAAAACTAGGGCACTCAAATTCACATCTTACCGGAAAAGAAAAAACTAATGTCATAGAGAAATCAGCAATTCCTCGATCAATTCTCAGAATAATTGGTTATATGCATCTTTTCTCTTTTTCCTGAAAGAAATGCATGCGTTGGAATTAAAACAGCATAACCTAGAAAAGACAGAAGAACAAATGATGCAAATCAAACATAAAGATGAAAGCAAGAGATTAGAACGAAGAGCTGGGAAGGATGAGGGATTAACTTATTTACCAGAGTGATCGGAGGAAGAAGAAAGAGATATGAGAGGCTTTGGCTGCTTCTAAATCTCACCCCTTCAGAATTTTCCCCAGAAATGTCTGAAATGATGAAGGCTTAGAGAGAGTAGCGACGCGGCCAGGAAAGTAAAGCTTTTTCTTTTCAATAAAGTCTTGCGAGGTTGAAAAAGGAGACAAGTGCGCTAGCAATAAAGGAAGGAAATAGAGGAGGCGATGGAAGGACGAGGGGAAATGACGCTTTGGGACGAAAGGGCGCGCGTGGCGCATCAGAGACGGGTAATGATAAAAGTAGTTTTTAAAATGCCGTTCACACTGATAAAACAATAACGATTTTTAATCCAGAAAGCTAATTTGCTTAAATATTTTTACTGAAATTTTTCAAATTTTTCTTAAAATTCATTTATATTTTAGGAGCTTAGTTTCAAAGCCTTCTATAATCTATTATAAATTTAGGATTTTGCCAAAAAGGTTATAAATTAAGGAAAGGATTAATATAATATTTGATTTACCCTTATTTTGATTTTGGTTCTTCAAATTTTAAATCATAGTTTTTTGCCCCTAAAAGAAAAAAATGATTTAGATTTTTATTAAATTATAGAGACCAATATTTTAAATGGAAAGAAACTTAACAGACCAAAATCTATATTTTAAAACTTAAAGGATTAGAACCTAAATAAAAACAAATTTAAAGAACTAAAAATTATATTTACACAAAAGTAAACATCAAGTTTGTGCAGCTTCGTCGATAAATTAGTAATGCTGTGTTTGGTACATGGGAGTGGCAACTAGAAAAATGAAACTTGAATTAGAATCCATCTTTTGGGCCTATTTGCCTTTGGTGTCCCTGGATCTATTCCTTCGTATAATCTAATTCTTTCATATCACCTTGAAATCAATTCCACCATTCCCCAGGGAACTGGCCAGAGCGTATTATAAACGGATGTGCTAAGTTCATGCCTCTTCAGTAGGGAATACATACATGAATATATACATGTGTGGTAAAAGTCTCTTAAGCCATATTTTAAAAATTTTTAAACAAACTAAACCAAAAAAGAAAAACGGAAAAAAAGGGTTGAGTGCTTCAATAACTCAGATTTAAGTCAACAAGAAGTTGTATCTACTATATTTGGATGAATTCTCAAACATAATATTAACATGTACATGTATTTAATTTAATTGTATAAAATAAAACACGTATATAGCTCAAAGAGGGAAAGAAATGCTTGACCACAATGGAAGTAAAATATAAATGACTACGCCTGAGCTTCCAAGATACGGTGCCTTCTTTTCAATATTAAAGTCTGATTAATTTTCTTGAAAAATTAAATTTAACAGAGCACAACTTTACAACCTGAAGTTTCACATATTTTAAAATAATACTTTAATAATTTCTTTTAATAAAGTCGTACTCCTTGGTTGTCTCGTCTTTATGCCTGTTGTCCTTGTGGGGCAATGCACACATCCAATACACTATTCTGGCGGAATGAAAACAAAAA